TCGATTTCCGGTTCTCCTCGCCTTCTCTGCTTGTTTTGGACACCCGAGATCTTCGTGTACCAATACACCCAGGTCCCGCTCCTGAGAAACCTTCGCCAAGGTGTGGTCTCCAATCTTGCACGCGCTCACCAGCTGGTGACGCAGATGCATCACTTTGCACTTAGCCATGTTCAATTGAAGCTTGTTCCTCTGACCATTCGTAAATGCAATCTAGGTCATGTTGGAGCAGGTCCTGATCTGCCTTGTTACTAATCGCCCGCCATATCTTGACGTCAACGGCGAAAAGCAGGAAGTTTGAGGAGATGACTCTTGCCAGGTCGTTAATAAACACCAGGAATAAGCGCGGTCCCAGCACTGAGCCTTGCGGGACACCACATTCCACGTCAATTGGCTTAGAAAGTGATCCCCTAACACGTACTTGGAGCTTTCGTTGGAAAGGAAGTTGCCAATCCAACCAAGTACAGGATCTCCGATTCCGTAACTTTGTAGTCTTTGAAGTAGGATGCGGTGATTAAGGCGGTCGAAAGCTTTGGAGAAGTCCAGATAGATGACGTCGACTCCGACCCCATCATCGGCCACTTCCGTCCAACTACCTCGTGCAATGAGTAGGTTGGTGGTGCATGACCGGTGTTGACGGAAGCCATGCTGTTCCGGTACCAAGATGTTGCATTTTTCCAGGTAGTCCATTAAAGCCTCAGCGACGACTGCTTCCATCACCTTTGCGAGCACAGGGAGGAGAGTCACTGGACGATAGTTTGCAGGATCGGAACGGCTACCGCCTTATAAATAGGGGTTATAATGCCACACTTCCACATAGTGGGGACTTGTTGTTCATCAAAGCACCTTTGAAAGAACTGTGACAGTGGTTCAGCTAGCTTGGTGGCCACAGCCTTCAGTGCCTTCTGGCGGATGTTGTCTGCTCCCGGAGAACTATGTTCACGCAGTGAGAGTAACTTCCTTAGCACAATTGATGGGTTAAAAATAACATTTGTAAACAAAGGTGTCGGTAATGAGCTTGATATTATGGGACAGGTAGATGTTGCGAGTTCAAAAATTGGGGCGTATTGCAGCCGCAGCTTATTAGCTGCTTCTTCGGCGCTTTGTACTCTACCGCCTGTCATGAATAGTGGGGGTATTCCATGCTTCACTTTACGAAACTTATTGACATGCTTATATAGCAGTTTGTTGTTTGTCATGAACTTTTTGGCTAGGCACTGTTGATACGTTATTTTGTCCTCACGGACAAGTGCGGTGCAATGGTTGCGATGGGCCAGGAAATTTCCCCAAGTCTCTGATTCGGGGTTAATCTTGTAGGCACGCCATGCTGCATCCCTTATCGCCAGGCATTTGCGAGTCCTACTCCTTATAATTGAAGGCATTTTCGCGGGATGACGGGGTTTGGTCTCTGATGCTTTGTTGACGATGTCGCTGAGCTTATTAACGAACTCTGCCCAAACGTTGTCAAGGGGACTTTTGTTTGAGAATTCCCAAGCAGCTTCGTCGGCGAGTTCTTTCAACACGTGGTAGCGTGTGATTATATGACTTAGTTACGAGTGTTCGGATGGATACTCTGCATAACACACATAGTCAAAAGTTATTACTACATGGTCACTGAGACCTAATGGACTATCCATCAATAACTTCTCAATCATGAGCTCTTCATTTGTGAGCACAAGGTCCAATATGGACGGTTTGTTTGCTGTCCTGAATCTAGTGGGCGTGGTGACATGATTGTACAAAGGAATATTAGCGATCAGTTCCTGCAAGTCTGCTTTGAACTGCTCACTGGGCGATGCCAAAACCTCCAGATTGTGTAGATTGAAGTCCCCAGAGATGAGAATGTGGCTGTACCTAGTGCGTGTTACTCTGTTTAGGCCACGGATCAAGCACGAATCCATTTCCGGAGTGGACGTTGGGGGGCGGTAAACGATAGCTATGAGACATGTATCGTTGTGTCTCAGTCGGAGACGGCACCAGAGTGAGTCGGTAACGTATGTTTCCAGGTCCTCAACTATTGTACACTGTAGATCGCTGCGGTAGTAGAGTAGGACCCCACCTCCTCTGCTGGGTCGGTCGTTCCGGATGAGTGACATTCCGTCTATCTCAGCCTCAGCATCAGTCACCTCTTGATGCAACCAAGTTTCGGTTATAGAAATTAGATCCCAAGCATTCGCAACCTGACGCAGTCGAAGTTCGTTACTTTTACTGAGGAGCCCTTGGGCGTTGGTGTACATACATGAAACTTTCTCAGATTTAATCAATGTTTCAGAAGTTGTACAACTCATACGTGAAGTTTCGCCGACCAGTGAGTGGCCGGCGACTGGAGGGGTGGATGAAGCAAATGGGTTTACGCCGACCATTAAAGGGTCGGCGACTAATCGTTTTTTGGATGGGTTGCATACTCTCGAGAAGTATTTGATATATAAGCAGGTATCAGGTGCTCCGACTCCTGGTGTTTGCTCGTGCTCTGCTGGGCCCCTCCGGATAGTATGGCTACTCTTGAAACCGTCCCCGAGCCGGGTCCTGCAGCTGGCGTTTTCACTAAGATTTATCACGGCCAAAAAGGTATGTGTTTGACAATTCCCGTAGGATGGTTGAAGTAAAAATAAAACTTCGAAGAATCATCAAAGAAGTAAATCGTTATTTCAAGCGTCCACCGAGTTAAATGCACTACCGCACAACGACAGTTTGAAATGAGAATGGGGATGTGCACACGCAAAATAGTGTAGAGAGCTGTTATAGTTCAGTAAGTAGATGAAAAACAAAAAGGTATACGACAACGCTCACTAGTTTGTTTCTTCATTTGACAAACATTATGTGTTAATCCAGTTTAGCTACATCCAGACTAAGCACATGGACACTGCTGCATGTATCCTTACCGCTACGCTGCGGAGAGGACAGATAAACACATGACTAGGTTTACGTTGTTTCGTCCTCCCAGTAGAACGAACTATATCAAGTGACGCAAGTTTGAAAGCGTTTCATCAAAACGTTTCTTGAAAAGTGTTAATGTAAGGGCAAGGATAACGTGAGTCGGAAGGGCATTCTAGGCAAGGGACACACGGAGGGAGAAAAGGTAGCATTGACAACCTAGTCGACTGTAGTGCGCAGCCAGTATGAGCTGATGGCCTCTCAGTTTGGTATTTTGGCTTAGCTGCAAAAGATTGCTACATGAGTGAGTTGGGTTCGTCAGTATTAAGTAAACCATAATTAGGTCTCCTCTCTGACGTCGATATTCAACAACGTGCAGTTTGCGTTGGTAGGAGAGATGAAACAATCCTCTAACGAGTTTGGTTGCTCTACGTTGTGGAGCTTCAATTGCCTCGACGTTTCGCCTTCGCCAGAGAAGCCAGGCATGGATCGCATGTTCAACGTGAGGCCTCACGTAGGCTTTGGGCTCAAAATTGCCGAAAGCGCCCAGTAAGATTCCAAGATGTTGAATGACTCTTTTGGTTTCCTTTCCGCCTGTCTCGAGTAATCAAGGTCCTCCTGCAAGATCGCCCAGAGGTCGTTTTCTTGGGAAGCATGCTGTAACTGCTGGTCCCCAAGTTGATATTCATAGATAAGCTGATGGCATATGCTTGCGACTTTGCACTTTGGCTTCCGACTTTGCACTTGGATTTGTTCAACCACTCGAGCGGGATGCCGGCGCTTTATTAGACATTCCATCTGCATTAACATACTTCGACGAAATAGATTTTAAGATGTTTGTAGAAACCGATGATGACTTGCTAACTTGCATTGAACCTGACTGATATGCTATTTTGCAAGCGACAATGGCTGCGCTACTCCACTACGGACACAAAGAACAAACAGTTGCTGAGGCTGATGAAGAAGTGAAAGGACTAAGGGACGATGAACTGGAAATCACAGAAATGCCAAAAGAAGATGAAGTTAAACCTCTTTTAATGCGACTGAACTTATTTACTGTGGAAAAATGTTAAACCATGCCATGTAGTGTAACATGTGCCGAGAGCACTTATTTCGAGAAAATTTGTGTGAAAAGCAGGTTGTCTTTTTTTTATCCAAAAGCGAAGTTAAATTGTTAAATGCACACTGCGTTTTGATTTGTTTTAACATCGTATGGGTGAGTCGCGTTTCCTGTTATATGAGACTTCAATGTGCACGAAACTGGTTAATGTAGAAACAACTTTCATGGGATACTGCTCACAACGGGAAAGTAGGTTATGTTAAGTTATGGCATAGAACCTCACTAAATTGACCACCTGTATACGTTGAGCACATGGATTCAGTCCCTCGAGTGGTCAAATTAGGCAGGTTTTACAGTAGATATTATGGAGTTAGTACTGGAGGGAAGGTAATCAGAAGGAACTGAGTACAGTTGAGGCGACACCGTTAACAAGAAGGAGAACCTGCAGGAAAACACTAGACGCCGGACGGAGAAACTAAGACGAGGTGAAGCGGAAGAGAGTACGGATTCATCTGTAACACTGATGGGGCTGATCCCGAAAAAGAAAGGATATATTTCGATTGTGCAAACAGAAGGGCGATAAGATTTACATGACAAAGCAAGCGGCCAGCGTGCCGCAAAAGAACAGAGCAATTGGTTGGACAGCTACGTAGATTTCGTCCACGCACTGATTGGTTTGCTGGAGCGGGTTTGTTTAACTGATTCAAAGGAAGACTCTGATGGATGCAGCAACATCCTTCGTTATGGAAATGACTTAGTTATTTACATCGAGCTTCCTACATGCTTGTCATGCCGTCATTTTTATTGAGCTCACTTTGCCGAATAAACCGTCTTTCCCTGAAGGACCGAGTTTGGAGACATGAGGTACATAGAGAACAAATGTGCGCTAGGCGGTCTTAAACGGGTCCTTCGTTAGACTTGCTGGATTTATAGCTCTCGAGAAGTTTTGCTGTGATACTGGTTTGTTTGATCACAATCCATTGTTGCAGACGAATAATGTTTGGTTGAAGGACAGAACATAGCATTCAGTTTGATAGATACATTTACAATCGCGGGCGAGTTCGTTTTATTATCTATAAAAAATGGGACTATGCAGCGTTCTTGAAGCACGTTTAGCATATGGGAAGACCTGTTTCAGGAAGTCTGGAGGGCAATATTGGTGGACATGTGATATCGAAGGCATCAGCCAAGGTGCATGATCGCCAGACGCTTTACCCGAAGGTTTGATGGTATGTGCTTGATTTTCTACAGGTTTATCCCCTATCCTCAGCTGGAAGGGCTCTTTGTTACAGCTGGGAGCAATCGAGTAATCGGAGTGATGATTATCGATCGTGTTATGAAGGTCTCGATCGGACGTCACTGCTGAAAACGTAGCCAGATTGCACAAGACTCTCTCATAATGGTCTGACCACGTTGACTGTGCGACCGCAGTGCTGTCACTTGTTGCCGTCGGATAAGAAGTGGAGAATGCAACTTGGTCCCGACGCTGTCGCGCTCTCCTATTTTGAAACCATATTTTGACCTGCATAAATGGTGAAGAAGGATTGGTATTTTTTTACCAAAAACATGAAACGAGACCATCAAAAGGAACGCATATTCATAAAACCTCAAAAGCACCATCAACGACATGATCATTATCAGCAAGCGCGTTAAATACAACCGATTGTAAATCCTAGCCCCTGATTCCCTTGTTTTGAGTGCTTTTCGAAAGATGGCAAAGAGCAGCTGAGAAGCTGATCCACCGCTTTCAGATAACTTCACCGACACCGGTAATGTCCGCTGTACACACCTCGGGCATTCAGCTTATGTTGATGTGGAAGGCGGATCAAGCGCGTGAACTTCTTAGTTACATTATATTGTGCAGTCTCCAGAGTGGTACGAACGTGTTTCCGTCAAGTAACTCAGGTACGCTTACGTAAAAATCGATATCTTCTAACTTTCGTTTTGTGCTCATTCGTTAGCTTTTGTTTCCACCTGTCACCTTGATAACACCATTGGCCTTTTAGAGTGTTTTGCTTTTAAAGCACGGTTCAAATCGGGCGCTAATGAAATTCCCTCTTTGTTTCTGCTTTTGAATTATTTGTTTTGCCTGTTCACCCGCTTTTAGTGCTGTCGAAATAATGGTGTCGTTCCTAAGGAGCAGGCCTCGGAAATGCGTGGTAGTGATGAACTCGGCTTGATTCGCCTACATCTTCTCCGAGCAACGACACCTGGACTGTCTAGACAACACCATGGAACCACTGCATCAAACTCATCCGAGCGGACACAGTAAAGCACCAAGAATCCTTGTGATAAGACTTTGCCCTACCCCAAATCTACTTTACAGACACAGAGTAAAGTGCGGCAATCCTACGCTGCACACAGCATCTAGGTTAACGCAAACGGCCCAAAAGGCGGCCAACGTTATTCCACAACAAGTTAGCCGTACCTTCCAAAATGTACCGTCCTCTTACATCCTTCTTACGCAGATCCTGCCACCACCATCAAGCCTTAACCAAATGCCATTACAACCAATGGTGTAGTGAATCAGCTGAGGTACATGCGCAGACGGCAGTAGTCCAAACAACTTGAAAGTGGCTACTATGTCTGTTGCTGAACCGCTAGCAATATTAGTTCTACGATGTCTTAATGAGTTGCAGGTTTCCACAGTGTGGAAGTACCGACTCGTCATGCCAATCGACAATAGTGGCAGCTGTGCAGATCCAGCGAATTATTGACCGATAGCAATTTATCCGAGGATCACTAACATCATGGAGTTTATTTTTGTGGAGGTACTCATTGGTATCTGGAAAGTAACAAAATTTTCACACCAGAGCAGCACGGATTTCATCGAACTCACTCATGCACTACTAATGTAATGATCGCTCATGCATGCTGGAAGGAGTCTGCCAATTGTGGTGCTTAATCAGTTGCCACCCATTTTGATTTCTCAAAGGCATTCGACCGTCCGGATCAACACATTCCAATTCAAAAGTTTCAGGATTGTAGAATAGACGGTCCCATGCTGGGAAAAATACTAATCTTCTGGTTCAACATCATCAGACGGTGTGGGTTAGCAGCACCCTATCCGAACCAATCGAAGTCCAATGCGGCGTAATTCAAGGCTCGGTACTCCTGTTCCTCCTGTTCCTGGTCTTCATAAACAACCTAGCAATGGTGCCGTCTTTAAAATTACTACTATTCGCCGAGGAGCTAAAGATATGGCGTGTTAACCTTGAAATGGAAGATCAAACGGCACTGCAAGATGGTCTGGATAAAGTATACACATGGCGCACAGAGAACATGCTCAAATTTAATGCCGCCAAGTGCAACGTTCACATGCAACGTACACGCGACAACCAGCTGGGTTCACGAATACCATAGCGCGTCCTCCGTGAGAGCGATCTCGGCGTACTCTTGCAAGGGGTCCTCGGTTGTTTTAGGCCGACCGAAATACCACCAAAGAAAGCAAATCAGCATCTCATTCTTCTGCGGATGGCGTTCGGCTATTTCGACGCCTCAATCTTTCCGCAGAGGCTTGGCGCGTAGGGGAGGCCGTATGTGACATATGCTATCCAGCCGTGGCAACCATAGCAGAAACAGCCTCATCGAGCTCGAGATTGCACATACAGAGGGACATGACGTCAAAGGTTTGTCCCAAGTTCTCTATCAACTCAGACTTAAAATTCTGTGAGTGCAATTCAGACGTTATCGGCGTCTACGGGGTGATCTCTTAATGGTGTATCATACTAAAACTACGATCATACTTGCCACGATCTTCCGAAACTCAGCCAATTACGTCTCTGAGTAGCCATCAGTTTAGCCTGGCCACGAATTACAGCCGACTGGAATGTCGAGGAAACTACTCCCTCCGAGTGTCACAGCCCTTCCAGTGCATGCAATTAATGACCCCATCTTATCATATTTCAAAAAACGACGATAAGACACGGACACATTTACACTGAGGGACATAGCACGTGACCATTATCAGATGACGGCGTTAGTGCAAGACAAAGAATGGAGTGTATTGGACTCAAACTCCAAGTGGAAATAATTGTATCTGTGCTACTGAAAACCCTTCAGTGCATCGTGTATCTTGCACGTGATTTCATCGATACTGTCATCATCTTGGCATTCTCACCATAACCATATTACAGGATTTGTTAGGCATTTGCTTTGGCACCTGTTAAGCCACTGCATATTTGCTCCATTATTTCGTTTTAAACTTGCCCATCTTGCTATATAACAGCGTTATTAACGTATGAAAAAGACTCAGCATCTTATTCCAGCTGGTTTGTGTTCCCATTACCGTTAATAGGTAGAAGTGGTCGCGGAAGTGGACGCAATAGTTGGACAGCGTATTCTATATGCAGTCTCATCTAGGCGTTATCTTCAGAATTATGAAAAACCGAACTTCCCATAAGATGTGTAAGCGCTGTGTATCTACTCGCCATCATATTTTCTCCTAATTGACAAAGTCTAAGTCGCGTTGCAAGGTCAACCCGAGATCCCTGTCACGGGAAACGCCCTGCGGAATTTTTGAACCTTACCGGGAATCGTGGATGATCGGATGTTCAACGATTGTACTTGATGTACAGAGGGGATGATAAATCCATCGATTCCATCCGCCTTCATTGCACAGAGTTACTTGAAGACAGACATTATTAGCTTGACACGGTGCCCGTTGTACAAGGAATTTTGAATATTGCATCCTCTTCCGAAGAATTACCTCAACTTATTGCCAATCCCCTGGTTTTGAGGGCTTGGGAATAGGCTATGCAAAGCGTTGCTCGCGGATCTCAGTAGCATAGTGTTCAGGAAGTCAGCCATGAACTAGTAAGCTCTGAGTTCCACCCAAGCTCAGGCTATCTCCGCCTGATGAGTCTAAAACCAAGACGAAACCGTGGTCGTGGTGTACCAGTGTTGTGAAGAGCAACACGCAAATATATCCATCCAAGCTTAATTAATTTGATAGCGTTCAGCTTCTCAGGAGTGGTACGAAAACCCACAGAGGGAATGTACTGCATATACAGTATTCCTGATTACGCTTCCGAATACCTTCGTCCAACCGGTCAGCTTCACCTCACAGACTGCAGGCACTCCTCGACTGACTTTCCGGTGAAAATGGCACCGTTCAGCTATGTGATACTTTACCTTAAATCTGTTCTAAACTTCTCGGTCTTCCCCTGAAAGACTGACGGAGCCGACGAATGGCCAAACTCTCATCATATCTGCCTGAACAAAATTCGGCGGCTCATCGATTTTGTGGTTATTTATAGGTCAGTTTGTTAACAAATATAACTATGTGCCTGTTTTAAATATCAACAATATCCCAGGGCTAGTGCCCTAAGTTATTATTTCTGCCACCCTTTCGTTTTAAGTATTACCTCTATTATGGTGATTGGTTGAAATATGACCTACCAGCGTAGCTAATATTACCAGCAGGCTCAAGCCGAAACGAACTGAAATCACCGAACATGTCCAACGTATTGAAAATCGAACCAGTTCACTTTCGGCCAGCCCGTTCAAAGCTGCTGTGTACAACATGGCGGTAAACTTCTCCCTCCCAACGAAATAGGTCGGCTAGAATTAGCTCCAGGTTTTACATCATTTGACCGGGCAGCAGAATTTTATACATTCGTGAGCTTTTTGTTAAATCAAAGCGCACATGCATTCCACTTGCCCTGCTTTGGTGACCTTAGTTTGCCTGAGAGGAACAGTGTTTCATGAGTGTTACAAACTCCTTGTTCCAATGTAGTGCGCCCAAATATATGACTGGCCCTGACCCAGATCGTTCTCCTGGGTGACCGTTTATTTAGTCTGCCTTTCAGTTGTGGATACTTATACTCGATAAATTGCTTCGCACTATCTGGGATTGGGAAGTACTCTAAGATTATTCCGTTCCTTTACCATTCGCTGCCATTCCTTGTTGCAGGGTAACGTAGTGTGCTTGGTAATCTCGAGAAAAAGTTTAACTCTTATGTTTATTAGACATGTCCTGAGATTAGCAAGATGATTGGGCACACGCTGTCCAACAGCTAATCGTCGATTAATGACCACAGTACTTTTGGCACAGTTTAGTAGATTAATTTTCTTACCGTTATGTTACTTCATAATGTGAGCACCGCTCCAAACCACCACGATCGGACAATCTCAAGTATATTTCCACTCTCTAGGTTCCTAGAAGTGAGACCCTGACTACCAGCTGTCGAGAGCATCCGTCTCTGTGACTTCACTTGTGTTGAAGATAAGTGAACGAAGACAGACGGTTATCGATGTCTCATATCTGTTAATAATTATACTGTTTTCACGAGCATCATGGCTAAGTCATACTAATCCGTTCTCCAGACGTTCGTTAGGTTGTCTGTTGAGGGCACTCATCAGCCAGGTTACAGATGTTCTCAACAATGCGTTGGGTCGATGCAAATGGCCTAACTAAAGGAAATTGTTAATAAGCCAACCACACAGGAATTGTGTCATAAATTTTCGGTGCGTAACAGGTCCACTTCAAAAAAGAGAACTAGGACGTCTCCTATCAAAAGTTTCTCATCTATATCTGTGCAACAACCGCGATGTCCCACAGCGGAGAGTAACTCAGGTTCTACTGAATCGACCGCGTTGAGCAGGCACCAAAACAGTCAGATTCCATGAATCTTGTAAGGTTGAATGCTTTATTCAGCCTCAGCCACCGTACTGTGAAAATCTCTTCTTAGTTCGTTCATTCAGGAACTGGATAGGCCCGAGGTGAGCTTATTAAACGTAAGCCTTAACGACAGCTGATAGAAGAGGAAATGCGTACCGGAATTTTGGGTAGCATACAAATTTGTACGTAAGTATGACGCACTGTCTTGGTGCGACCCAAATTGCGCGACGAAATTTTGCGGACTTCCTTCGAGTATCTACTGTTCAACTTGCAGATCCGTTACCAGCTAGCCAGAACGGCCAAGTGACGCAATACCAACCAGCAAAGCAAAGGACTTCCTTGATGGATTGGAAAATAGGCTGGGCGAGTAACTCCAGGATGGCGTGATTATGCACCAACTATGTATACTTGACAGCAATCATGCATGGATTCTGCGTATCTTTGTGACTGTTAAGAGCCTGAGGACGTTCGTCCCTACATTGGAAACATTAGTCCTGGAAAGCCCCATCCAAGATTTCATCAAAATAATTCGCCCATGTGAAGTGGAAAACTGAGAAGACAAAACCAGATGGTACACACATGGAAGCGGCGACCAGGTTAACGCACACCTCGCCTATCTAGAGTTGGGAAAACACGCGTATCAGAGGTACACAAAATGTCGACTAGGCTGTAGACTCAATCTATGGCTGATGCAAAGACTGAAGCAGCACACGTTAGTGTACGGTTTGCCAAAGTCTACCCGGACTTCTTGAAGGCGTCGGATGAACAGGACAGTAGGATCCTACTTTCCTAGCTTTACAACCACCGCATTAATAATCCTGTGCTAGAATTCATCTGTGAGGTTCGTCTTCTCTAACATGGAAATATGTGGCAAAATCTGAATAATCAACACGGACTCTAAAATTTGTCACTAAATTCCTAACTAGTCTAGAGGACGTTGTTGGTGCTGCCCGAAGTCAGATGTCGGCCTTCTGCCACTGTGTGCTGGGTTTCATGCCCATTTTCGAGTAACACCGCTAGAAGAGTGCAAGCGAGGACAAAGCCAGTATTAAAGTAACGCGTAAGTAACGACCGGTCCTCAAAGCTCTCCGCTTCTGTTTCTTTCCCAGTGATCCAAGTAGCAGAGGTTTATTTCACAGAAAAATGGTTGCATGTGCCTCAAGATCAGAGCCCAAATGCTCAGCTGCAAGCATTCCACGATGGGATTTATGGATAACCAATCTAAAACCCTATATAAACAACCAATGCGTGATGTACAGGTTGTTTTATTAATCATGTCCGAAGCTAGGAGCGGCTGCACTCAGTTGCTGACATACCCCGGCGCCCTGCATTGCTAACTGTCCAGTGGCGCAAAGTGCTTTGCCGGCAGGAGTGTGATGGGACACAGAAGCGCGACATGTGTGTCTACGATCGCAGGGCTCACCGAGCCGTCCGATTATGAGAAGTAAACATCATCAACACTACAGCCGCAATCGATCTGTCATGCGCTGCTCGCAGGACGAGACCAAATAGTCGCAGGTCGTTCGGCTGTGAGAACTGGAAGTTAGCCAGAGACCACCGCCGCACTGAACATGTCATGCTTGGATCGATCGGTAGTCGGCCTTCATGCGGGTGAAAAAGCCAGCAAAAGTGTTCCCTTGGGAACGGTTAGTGGGTCGCTTTGTTAGCAATGGAGCAGGAGCTTATACCCGTGTCATCTAGGTAACAGCAACCACAGTCACGTAACGTGACGGTGCATCAGCGCGTGATTATTGTGCATCGGTATGTTGAGTATAGGTCCAATGCGGCGCAAACCGTAAAGCGCTATAATAATACGCACTGTGTTACGCGGCCCATTAACGAGCGGTATGTGCGTCGAGTGGTGAAAAGATTTGCGGAAAACTGACAGCGTTTGCAATTTCATACAAAGCGGACGGCTTCGCACCGTCACGGATGAAGTATCAGTTTGCGCTTTTGTTCAAGTGGTATGCAGTAACAGCCAACTTAGTAAGCGGCACCTCACCTAACATGACGAAACCACACCGTATGTTGTGCATCGAATAATGAAGGGGAAAATTCCGGCGGTGCAGCGCAACGCAGGTGCAAGTTTTGGATGCATGCACTTCACTCAAGCGCTTGGAATTCGCCCGTTTGTTTTTAAACAGTCTGAAGGTGTATGCCATTTGGTCCACTGACAAGGCGGTGCTCACTGTGCATGGGGAAGATACACAACGAGTTTGGGCAACAACCAACCTATGGGAATGCGTTTCACGTGTTCAACATAGCAAGAACATAGAGTAAAAAAGCCACGTCACCTCTCTGGTTTGGTAACTTACTGATGCGGCTTGAAATCTAATTGCGATGAACCAAATCGAATCATACCCAAATGCGTCTATACATTAGTAATCAAAAATTGCTGTGTGGATTCACGGCGCTGGCACAGGAAGCCTGAGCTTGACGGCCGACCGCTGTCCTCTGCACGGGCAATAACCTGCACGCCAGTGGAGGATGGGTCGGGCTATATCGCAGTTAGGTTTCCATTCGTAATGGTCGGCTGTCATCCCACATTGCTCAGTGGCGCAAGCTGCTGGCTAGTTGACGTTAGCATCTAGCGGTCATGGGTTCGATCCCCAGTCTGGAACCGATGGATGCGCACCACTGACGAGCCCCAATAGGGCGAAACTTGCATCTGGTGAGTTCCGGATTGTTAGCTTACCTATGCGGCTTGGAATCTAATTGTACTGAACCAAATCGAATCATTTCAAGGTTTTGTTTCGTTACACTTGCAAGAGAATCCACCCAGAAAGCAACTAAAACTCACCCTGGTCTGTGACAGTTCCAAACGCCAAGCTAAATGCTGCACCTCCAATCCACTGAGGTAATGCGTCTGTTGGAACTTTGCTTCTAACATCTGCACTTGAAAGCGAGAGAAAGGCACTCTTGGACTGCGGTTCCTCACACAGCGCGGATCGTCCAATTGTGGTCGGATCTCTATTCTGCTCGAAATGGAACATCCCATGTCAATAGGATGACGGTACTGCTTGTTTGGATAATCTGAAAGGTATGCAAAGCAACACATGCACGAATTCACAGAAGTGCTTATGGAAAAATACACTTGTGTGTGTGCGTCTAGCACTCGACTTTTTGGCTTTGTCAATCAAATGGTATTCGCGTGCTACAAACGCGCCGACTGCTCCCAGTAACTAACACAATTAAGGTTGTTTTATCGGTTTCTTAATTAGTCTGAGCCGAATGAATGTCAAGCTACAAAGAGTGCTTTACACCAACGATATCGATGAAAACATATTACAGGCCAGTGCAATAATACAGGACAGTCGGCTAAATCACGAACAGAAGTAAAACCCACAACGAAGCTGCTCTGGTTTATTGGATCCCAAGCAGCAGCCGGATGTGTGCGGTCCGACTGGCTGGCTTGCTTGTTCAAAGTTTTGAAATCGCGCTAGGTTAACAGGTGCCTGGTTGTCATCGCAGCCTACGCCCACACAAACGGTAGCAATGGCTCGTTGAAGACATCTATCCTCCAATGAACGGGCTCCTACGCCGCAGAAGATGCACGAACACTTTAATGGGGAAACTCACCTCCACCTTGTGCATTTTCGGTTAGTCCCCTCTGGTTCCCCGAAACCGGACCAACAGGTCGATGACGCTGCATGCGTTGTCAGCGGTTCCAGACATGGGCTGCGCATTGCTTCCACTAATGTTTACAGTTTCATAAACAAACTCGACGATCTGTGCCACTTCGCTGCCTCTCCGCCGGACGTATAAAGACTGGCTGATACCTGGTTGGATTCTGCGGCAACCTTCCGAGCATCATCATCATCATCATCATCATACACGTTAGCTAGAGGTGGGGAACACCTCAGCTACTGTGCCGCAATACAAAGAAAAAAAATGAGAGAGAAAAAGAAAATAACTGGTGAAAGCTGGCTGAGCTACCGGTAACGGATGGGCATCGTTCCGGTAAGCTACCAGCCGGCTGCTGTGCACCCAAAAAAATTATTATGCAAAATTATATAAGGCTAAGTAATGAGATCGTGCTTGGAGGGGGGGGGATAAAGAAACTCACAGCACGATCGCCACTGAGGTCGGCTGATAACCATATCAACAAGTGTGTCCAACCAAACGTGTTCATCGTCTTTCGGACCCCAACCAGGGAGCCGAGACGCTCCAACCGAGGCCAGTTCAGAAGTGAGGGTCTTCATTCCTCTGGACCAAGTCATCGCTTGGCCACCCCTCCTCTTCTTCCATCCACACCTCCGGCGCGCAAACAACACACGTCGCGGAAGTCGGTGGGCTGGCATGCGTAACACGTGGCCGAGCCTTCGGAGCCTGATGCGTGAAATAACGGTGCTGAGCGGTTCATTTCCTTTTCCTGTGCCATAAACAAGGCGTCGAACACGCTCGTTGCTCACGCGGTGTTCCCACCAAATGTGAGCTAAATTACGAAGGCACCGGTGGTCGAACGTAACTAGCCTCTTCAGGTCGGTTGCTTTAAGCGGCCAGGTTTCACAACCGTACAGTAGAGTAGAACGTAATGCAACAATGTACACTCTATCCTTCAGGGCAGAGTGATGTCGCGCCGGCGCCATATGTGGCGAAGGTTAGCAAAAGCGCCTCGAGCTTTGCTATACGGTTCGTGATCTCATCTTCAATCCCACGGGCGCGGATACAACTTCCCAGATAGTTGAATTTTTGAACGACTTCTAGCTGATCCCCACCAAGGGTCAGCGAAGGAGGCGGTCCAGACCAATCGTGGAGGATCGCTTTGCACTTCGATGGTGCGAAGCGAAACCCGAAGTGACGGACAGCTAGTGCTAATCCGTCCAGTGCCGCTTGGCATATTTGTGAGCTGTCACAGATGAGGGCAATATCATCAGCATACCCCAAGACAACAAGTCGTTCTCCTGGGAGTAGCTCCACACATTCTAAGTCGTGTCCTGTAAACGCGATTTCCATGACTTCGTCCACAGCGAAGTTGAAGAGGAAAGGTGACAGCGGGCATCCTTGTCTCACGCCGCTGGAGATATTAAAGGGCGACGACAACTTGCCGTAAGCCCTCACTCTGCCCGAGCTACGCGCATATAATGCTCGGATAATATTCACATATTTCTCAGGTACACCTTTCCTGAGTAGACAGTCCCAAAGTGCAAGTCTATCCACCGAATCGAATGCACCTTTGATATCGAGGAACACGACAATGGTCGGCCGCCAATATGTGTGACGGTGCTCCAACAACTGACGCAAGGTGAAGATGTGGTCAACGCAGCTACGACCTCGACGAAATCCAGCTTGCTCTTCACGAATCTGGCTTTCACGAGTGCCAGTCAGTCTGTGAAGGATGACAGAGGCAAGCAATTTGGAGGCGATGGAGATCAGACTGATTCCTCTATGGCTGCCGCATTCCGATCGTAAGCCTCCTTTAAAAATTGGGACTATGATGGAGCGGCTCCAATCGGTTGGGACAGTCTCCTGCTCCCACAGTCTCACTAGTAACTCGTGTAAATCATCCACAAGAGCAGATCCCCCGAATTTGAAGAGGGCTGGAGGAAGGTCATCAGGTCCCGCGGCTTTATTTAACTTCAACAGTTTGATCTCATGTTCGACTTCTGAGCGAGAGGGTGGATCCAAAGGAACAGCCCACGGAGCGGGGCGATCACTGGTCGGCGAGAAATCTAACAATTCCGACATATTAAATTGCCTTTCAAAGTGCTCAGTGCAACGTTCCACGCCTGGAACCTTCCAAGCGGTCAGATAGAACGCAACTTGTGCTTCCGGTGCGACAGATTATCGAACGACCGCGGTGGTGTACTGCTCTACATCCGGTACTTGTTGTGCGGAAGACTGGTAAGTACCTTCCGAAGTGAGAATGGTCTGTGAGAGAAACTGTGCTGCTCAATCCTCCTGAGGCATGACATATTGTTGATGGGTGTAGCGTAACACAGTCAGCGTAGTTGCTGTTTGGATTGGTTGCCGCATGTGCGAAACCGCAAGAGTCTGTCGTTCAAATTCCCCACGGGCATTTTGAATTCGAGGCTGGGTTTACTGAGATGATATTCGAAAATGGGACAGCACAATACATCTGCCAGCCGATGCGCCTTACACCGCACTCAAATCCATCGCGCCTGCGCCTGATGTTGACTAGCTGCGAGCATCGTGTTCGTGATGTTTCGGTCCTAGACGCCATGGCAATTAATGATCATTCAATGGTTTTGGTCAACCTCTAGCTTTCGGTAACATACTCGTATCCGCTGGAGCCATCCTAAAACTACTGGAGGCTGACTTTGATGGTCCCACTCAAGCCGCTAACCAAGTGGACTGGTCATTGCCACAGGATTCATCTACTTTAACCTGTTAGTCTGTTATAAATAAACGTGTGAAATCGATGTGCGCCCGAGTTGCGCACATCAATCATCGGAAAGCTGGACCAGTGAAACCACAATGACTCGACAAGGTATATGGTTGGTTAGCTCGAAGGCGACGAGTATTGTGGAATAAATTCCTCGTGTCTGGCTCTGTCGGCGATTACCAGCTGTACAAAAGGCAACGTAATCTATGCAACAGCGAAGAGGAGCATGCATGCGCAGCATAAACGGCCCCCAAGCTTGTTTTTGCTTACATGAAACGGTGTCTGAGACCGGCAGGCGGCACCTCGTTTTATCTGGTCAGCGTGGCTCCGTCTGACCTCCCTCATTTCGCCTATTCCCATTTTTGTGCTCCTTCTTGTTACGGACATCCACGACCGATGCTTCATGTCACACCCACTAACTACACGCGCCCAATCACATGACTATAGTGCATTCGCTGATTGCCCGCTGTTTCTCATTGGTTCGTTTTTGTCCCATAGGTATTCACTTAGCTCCGGTTAAAAGCAGAGTACAGTTTCACACCTACCATCCGGCGTTGGGGTTTTTCCTACGTCTAAACTGACTACAGGTCCATACACGGATTAGGAATACACGATCGGTACGTAACAGTTTTGTCCTCCGGGCAATCACTAGCTTCCGCCAATTACAGCGTTGTTCGAGTGCCTTGACGGACAGCCTCTGATTCCTTGCATTGAACGTACGTCTGTGTTGGTGATGCTCTACGCTTCTGTTTTTCTAAGTGGGCATTCGTTTATAAGAAGCTATAAGTGTACCGCTGCTACGGAAATCCAGACCCTGGATTGCGATGTAGACGATGTACGAACCTACATGTCAGTCTTGACAGCACGAGCCCGTTGATTCTCAAATCACTGTCTGCCATTATCTCGCCCCCGGTGACTGATCTGTTCATCAGATTGCTGTCAGATAGTGCATTGCCGAGTGGTTTGAAATGATCGAGAGTGAAGCCGATTCCGAAGGGTAGTGACCGAAGCAAATTGGACGATTACAGACCGCCTTTCTGACCACCTTTTTGACCAAAGTGCTTGCGAATATCGTGAAAAGGGGTCTGCTGCGGTTGCTGGAGTCGAAAAATCTCCTGACCACGGCGCAGCACGGCCTCATGAAGGGCCGCTCCTGTATAACCGAACTGCTGTTGACGCGGCAGAAATGGTTGCAAGCGTTGAATTGGGAGATGTCGGTGGATGTGATATTCATTGATTTCAATATATGGTTCGAAAAAGTGGACCATGAAGTTCTTCGCAACATGCTGAAGATCTGCGGTTTTGATGGTTTACTGTATCACTGGATAAAATGACTTTCACATTTGACGGAAATGGAGGGTGCAAGTGAATGACCATCTAACGGACTGGGATTCCTCCACCAGTGGTGTACCCCAAAATACGGTACTGGGGCCAATTTTATTCCTGATCGACGAATTGCCATGTTCGCCCAATACAAGCACATAGCAACTAGATCTCTACGTTTAAAATATTCATCATTCAATATTCAATGGTGACTGGGGATTTGAATGCTAAAGTTGGAAAATTGTCTGCTGATGTACTGCATCCGGGCGGCCAACACGGTGTAGGCTTCCGAAATGAAAACGATGAGCGGTTACTCCATTTGTGTGAAGGCGCTCGCTTATTTCTTGCCAGCACTGAGTTCCGA